TTTGTGAACTTAGGTTAAGCAAAGCTTTCTGAAATATAACTCTTAAAACACAAGCAACCAAAGAAAAAATAGATAAATTGGATTTAATCAAAATTAAAAACTTCTGTATTTCAAAGGACACTACCAAGAAAATAAAAAGACACCTCACAGAATGGGAGAAAAGATTTCAAATCATGTATCTGATAAGGGTATAGGATCCCTAAAAAACTTTTACAACTCAATAATAAAAAGATAAATTCAGCCAACAAATTGGATAATCTAGAAGAAATGGATAAATTCTTTGAATCATCCAACTTTCCAAAACTGAATCAAGAAGAAATAGAGGGGGCTGGCCCCGTGGCTTGGTGGTTAAGTGTGCGCGCTCCGCTACTAGCGTCCTGGGTTCGGATCCCGAGTGCACACCGACGCACCGCTTCTACAGCCATGCTGAGGCGGCGTCCCACATACAGCAACTAGAAGGATGTGCAACTATAACATACAACTATCTACTGGGGCTTTAGGGGAAAAAAAAACGAGGAGGATTGGCAATAGATGTTAGCTCAGAGCCGGCCTTCCTCAGCAAAAAGAGGAGGATTGGCATGGATGTTAGCTCAGGGCTGATCTTCCTCACAAAAAAAAAAAAAAAGAAGAAGAAGAAGAAGAAGAAATAGAGAATTCAAATAGACCAATCACCAGTAAGGGGATTGAAACAGTAATTAAAAACCTCCCAAAAAATAAAAGTCCAAGACCTGATGGCTTCCCTGGTGAATTCTACCAAACATTTGAAGAAGACTTAATACCTACCCTTCTCAAACTCTTCCAAAAAATTGAAGAGGACAGGAAGCTTCCTAACTCATTCTATGAAGCCAACATTACCCTGATACCAAAACCAGACAAGGACAACACAAAAAAAGAAAATTACAGGCCAATGTCACTGAGGAATAGCGATGCAAAAATCCTCAACAAAATACTGCCAAATCAAATACAACAATACAGTAAAAAGATCATACACCATGATCAAATGGGACTTATTCCAGGGATGCAGTGACTCAACATCCACAAATCAATCAACATGATACACCACATTAACAAAATGAAGAATAAAAATCACATGATCATCTCAATAGATGCATAGAAAGCATTTGACAAGATACAGCATCCATTTATGATAAAAACTCTGAATTAAATGAGTATAGAAGGAAAGTACCTCAACGTAATAAAGGCCATATATGACAAACCCACAGCTAATATCATCCTCAATGGAGAAAAACTGAAAGCTGTCCCTCTAAGAACAGGAACCAGATAAGGCTGCCCACTTTTACCACTCCTATTTAACATAGTATTGGAAGTCCTAGCCAGAGCAATCAGGCAAGAAAAAGAAATAAAATCGATCCAAATTGGAAAGGAAGAAGTGAAACTGTCATTATTTGCAGATGACATAATTTTATATATAGAAAACCCTTAAGAATCCATCAAAAAAAACTTTTTAGAAATAATAAATGAATACAGTAAAGTTTCAGGATACAAAATCAATACGCAAAAATCAGTTGTGTTTCTATACACTAACAACGAACAAACAGAAAGAGAACTCAGGCATACAATCCCATTTACAATTGCAACAGCAACAAAAAAATACCTAGGAATTAACTTAACCAAAGAGGTGAAAGATGTGTACACTGAAAACTATAAAACATTGTTGAGGGGCCGGCCCCGTGGTGTAGCGGTTAAGTGCACACACTCCACTGCTGGCGGCCCGGGTTTGATCCTGGGCACGCATCGATGCATGACTTGTCAGGCCATGCTGTGGCGGCATCCCATATAAAGTGGAGGAAGATGGGCACAGATGTTAGCCCAGGGCCAGTCTTCCTCAGCAAAAAAAAAAAAAAAAAAAAATTTGTTGAAAGAAATTGAAGAAGACACAAAGAAATAGAAAGATATTCCATGCTCTTGGATTGGAAGAATTAAAATAGTTAAAATGTCCATACTTCCTAAAGCAATCTACAGATTCAATGCAATCCCTATCAAAGTTCCAATGATATTTTTCACAGAAATAGAACAAAGAATCCTAAAATTCATATGGAAAAACAAAAGACCCCAAATAGCTAAAGGAATCCTGAGAAAAAAGAGCAAAGCTGGAGATATCACACTCCCTGATTTCAAAAAATACTACAAAGCTATGGTAATCAAAACAGCACGGTACTGGCACAAAAACAGACACACAGATCAATGGAACAGAATCAAGAGCCCAGAAATAAACCCACACATCTATGGACAGCTAATTTTTGGCAAGGGAGCCAAGAACATACAACACAGAAAGGAAAGTCTCTTCAATAAATGGTTTTGGGAACACTGGACAGCCACATGCAAAAGAATGAAAGTAGACCATTATCTTACACCATACACAAAAATTAACTCAAAATGGATTAAAGACTTGAATGTAAGACCTGAAACCATGAAACTTCTAGAAGAAAACATGGGCAGTACGCTTTTTGACATTGGTCTTAACAGCATACTTTCAAGTACCATGTCTTACCAGGCAAGGGAAACAATAGAAAAAAATAAACAAATCAAACTAAACTCAAAAGCTTCAAACTAAAAAGTTTCTGCACAACAAAGGAAACAATCAACAAAACAAAAAGATAACCTAACAATTGGGAGAAGATATTTGCACACCATATATCTGATAAGGGGTTAATATCCAAAATATATAAAGAACTCATACATCTCAACAAAATAAAAAACTAACAACCCAATTAAAAACTGGGCAAAAGATATGAATAGACATTTCTACAAAGAATATATACAGATGGCCAAGAGGTACATGAAAAGATGTTCAACATCACTAATTATCAGGGAAATGCAAATCAAAACTACAATGAGATATCACCTCACGCCCGTCATAATGGCTATAATTAACAAGACAGGAAATAACGAGTGTTGGAGAGGATGTGGAGAAAAGGGAACACTCATACACTGCTGGTGGGAGTGCAAACTGGTGCAGCCACTATGGAAAATGGCATGGAGATTCCTCAAAAAATCAAGGATAGAACTACCATATGATCCAGCTATTCCACCACTGGGTATTTATCCAAAGAACATGAAAACGTGAATACGTAAAGATATATGCACTCCTCTGTTCATCGCAGTGTTATTCACAATAGCCAAGACTTGGAAGCAACCTAGATGCCCATCAAGGGACGAATGGATAAAGAAGCTGTGGTATATATACACAATGGAATACTACTTAGTCATAAAAAACAATGAAATCTGGCCATTTGTGACAACATGGATGTACCTTGAGGGTATTATGCTAAGCGAAATACTTGAGGGAGAAAGTCAAATATCATATGATCTCACTCAAAAATAGAAGATAACAACAACAACAAACACATAGAGACAGAGGTTGGATTAGTGGTTAGCAGAGGAGAAGGGGGAGGGAGGACAGTGAAAGTGATGATTAGGCACATGTGTGTGGTGATGGATTGTAATTAGTCTTTGAGTGGTGAACATGATGCAATCTACACAGAAATCGAAATATAATGATGTACACCTGAAATTTATATAATGTTATAAACCAATGTTACTGCAATAAAAAAATTAATTTAAAAAAAGACAAAAATGGGCAGAGGATTTGAATAGACACTTATCCAAAGAAGATATGCAAATGGCCAACCAGCACATGAAAATGTGTTCAACATCATTAGTCATTAGGGAAATGCAAATCAAAGGCACATTGAGATATACCCACTAGGATGCTATAATTGTAAAAGTGGACAATAACAAGTGCGGACGAGCATGTAGAGAAATTGGAACTCGCTTACATTGCTTATGGGAATGTAAAATGGTGCAGATGCTTTGGAAAACAGTTTGACAGTTTCTCAAAATGTTAGCTAGAGTTACCATATGACCAAACAATTTCATGCTTAGTTATATACCCAAGATAACTGAAAACATATGTTCACACAAAAACTTGTACACAAATGTTCATAGCAGCATTATTCATAATAGCCAAAAAGTGGAAACAACCCAAATGTCCATCAACTGATAAATTAATAAACAATTGTGGTATATCTATATAATGGAATATTATTCAGGCACAAAAGGGGGCTAAAGTACTGATACATGCTACAACATGAATGGACCTTGAAAACACTATGCTAAGCGAAAGAAGCCAGATGCAAAAGGCCACATAATGTGTGATTCCATGTATACGAAATTTCCAGAATAGGCAAATCCATAGAAACAAAAAGCAGGTTTGTGGATGCCAGGAACTAGAGGGAGGGGGAAACAGGGAGTGACTGCCAGTGGGTACAGGGTTTCTTTTGGGGATGATGAAAATGTTCTGGAATTAGATAGTGGTGATGGTTGCACAACTTTGTGAGTATACTAAAAACCACAGAATTGTATACTTTAAATAGTGAATTTTAGGGTATGTAAATTATTTCTCAATTTAAAAAAAATCAGTAGCTTTTCTGAGCAACACCTAATTTAAAAAGATAATTTAAAAGTGAACTTATTCACGGGCCAGCCCCGTGGCTTAGCGGTTAAGTGCACGCGCTCCGCTGCTGGCGGCCCGGGTTCGGATCCCGAGCGCGCACTGACGCACCGCTTGTCCGGCCATGCTGAGGCCGCGTCCCACATATATCAACTAGAAGGATGTGCAGCTATGACGTACAACTATCTACTGGGGCTTTGGGGGGAAATAATAAATAAAATCTTTAAAAGTGAACTTATTCAGAATAACAAGAAAAACTCTTAGGCCCCTGGGAATAAATCTAATAACGACATGCTACACATTGAGGAGATTCTAACATTTTATTGAGGGTCATAAAAGAAGACCTAAATAAATGGAGAGACATGGCATATTTGTGGATTATGGCAAGGACATAATAACATTAATTTTGCTAAGTTAATGTATAAATTTACTGCAATTGTAATAAAAAGCCAGGGGATTTTCTTGTGTGTGAACTTAACAAACTGATCTTAAACTTTATATGAAGACAAGGAGTCAAGAATAGCCAAGAGGGGCAGGCCTGGTGGCACAAGCGGTTAAGTGTGCGCGCTCTGCTGTGGCGGCCTGGGGTTCGCTGGTTCAGATCCTGGGCACTCACCGATGCACCGCTTGGCAAGCCATGCTGTGGCGGTGTCCCATATAAGGTGGAGGAAGACGGGCATGGATGTTAGCCCAGGGCCAGTCTTCCTCAGCAAAAAGAGGAGGATTGGCAGATGTTAGCACAGGGCTAATCTTCCTCACACACACAAAAACAAGTAAGAAAGAATAGCCAAGAGAATTATGAGGATTGAGGAGGGAGACTTCCTTATGAAATATCAAAGTTTATCATAAAGCTATAGTAATTAGTACTGTGTGGAATAGCCATACAGATGTTAAAATAGGCTAACAGAATGGAGTAGATACAGACAGTATACCCAGATACAGACTCATGGATATGTGGAAAACGGGCCTATGGGTGTTTGGCAATTGGAACATTTATTTGAAAACATTTATAAGGAAATAAAATAAAATTAGTTTCTAACTTCACACCATATTGAAAAATAATTTACATTTAGAATTAAAAACAAAAATGTAAAGGCCAGCCCCTGTGGCCTAGGTTAAGTTTGGCACACTCTGCTTCAGCGGCCCAGGTTCGGTTCCCAGGTGCATACATACACCACTCGTCCGTCAGTAGCCATGCTGTGGTGGTGGTCACATACAAAAAGAGGAAGATTGGCAACAGATGTTAGCTCAGGGAGAGCCTTCCTCAGCAAAAACAAACAAATAAACAAAAATGTGAAAAACTTTTAGAAAAAACAGGAAAATATATAGGAGAACATCTTTATGACCTCAGGGCAGTGAATGATTTCTTAAACAAGACACAAAAAGCACAAATAAAAAGATAAATTCAATAATATTTTACTTAAAAACTTTAATGGAGGCAAAAGAAATAAGTTAAAATCAAGCTAAAGGGCCAGCCCGGTGGCACAAGTGGTTAAGTACACGTGGTCTGCTGTGGCGGTCCAGGGTTCGCCAGTTCGGATCCCAGGCATGCACCGACACACCGCTTGTCAAGCCATGCTGTGGTGGCGTCCCATATAAAGTAGAGGAGGATGGGCACGGATGTTAGCCCAGGGCCAGTCTTCCTCTGCAAAAAAGAGGAGGATTGGGAGATGTTAGCTCAGGGCGGACCTTCCTCACAAAAAAAAAAAAGCTAAAACTGGGAAAAGATATTTGCAAAGCATATCATCAACAAGGAATTAATATCTAGAATACCTAAATAACTTGTATAATCAATAAGAAAGAGACAAAAAATATTGTAAATTGAGTAAAGGATATGCCCTGGTGATTCAGAGAAAAAGGCACTCAAATGACCAACAAACTTATGAAAGACGTCCAACCTGAGTAGTCACGAGGGCAACACAAATTAAAACAATTATAACAGGGGCCGGCCTGGTGGCATAGTAGTTAAGTTCGAGCACTCCGTTTCTGCATCCTGGGGTTCGCAGGCCCAGATCCTGGGCGCCGACCGATGCACCACTTGTCAAGCCATGCTGTGGCGGCGTCCCATAAAAAGTAGAGGAAGATGGGCACAGACGTTAGCCCAGGGCTCATCTTCCTCTGCAAAAAGAGGAGGATTGGCAACAGATGTTAGCTCAGGGCTAGTCTTCCTCCAACAAAACAAAACAAAACAAAACCAATTATAACAACCAATCACACCCATCAAATTGGACAAATTAACAGGGCTAATAATCTCAAGTGTTGGTGAAGACATGGGGAAACAGGAATTCTTAGATATTGTTGTTGGAAGTACAAATTTCTGTAGTTACTTTGGAGAATAATTTGACAACATCTAATAAATTTGAAGGTGTGTATATCCTTCAACCCAGCACCTCTCCTTTTAGGTACCTAGCCCGAGGAAGTTCTCATATGTGGTCACCAGGAAGCATGAGCAAAAATGTTCGCTGCAGCACTGTCTGAAAATAGTAAGACATGGGAACAGCTTAAATATCCATTAGTAGGAGAGTGGATAAATAAACTGTGGTCTTGTGGCAATGCGGCAATGAAATACTATAGTTCGGTGAAAAAATACATAGACCAATTGACTTGTAGCTCTACATTTATCAACTTGGACATCCAGAAAACATGTTCAATGAGAAAAACAAGTTAGAAAAAGATGCACAAGCTATAATGTGAATATAAAAATTAAAGTCCACATAATACTAATATAGATTGTTATGGGTAAATACAGATGTAGTAAATGTTTAATAGCACAAACAGAAGGCTATATATATCAACTTTAGGATAGAGATCATCTCTGGCAAGAAAGAGGAAATGGGGTGGTAATAACTGTATCAAGATCATTTCATGTTAAAAAACATCTGAAGCAAATATGTTAACAGTTGTCAAAACTGGGAGATAGATATGTGGCTACCTTTTATATTTTCTGTACTTTACATATCCTTGAAATATTTAATAACTTATTTTTAGAAGTAGACATAATCCCTGCACAAGGTTGTTTGATGGTAGAAATTGATGTTTGACGTTGGGGAGCCTTTCAATCTCAGTGTCACAGGTTCTCTTTACTCAAATGGGGATGGCGACCCTTCTTTTTCTGATAGGGTTTTGGTGAGCATCAGATACGCTCACACACAAGAGAGCACTTTGGAAACTATAAATTCTGCTTATCGCTGATACTATTGTTATCACATAAAATGAAATGGCAAAAACATAATGAGCTAAGAACGGCTCAATCTGAGATTTACAACTAGAGCGCTCGCTAATTTTGAATTAGATTGCCGATAAAGAGAAGGTACTCAATTTCCCTTCATGTTTCCCCAGGGTGTTCTAAGCAGTGCAGATAAAGGCTGCTTGCCCAGAGAGGTGGGTGAGAAGGTCCTGGGCTTAACAGTGGGTATCAGTCACTCCTTTGGCAGTCTGCCCGACTATCCATCAGAGGAGCCTTCTAGTGGAAAATGCCAGAGGCGGCGACTGAAGGCAGCTTGTAGAAGTGATGGGTTTGTCGTGGAGGCAAATCATCTGCGAGAGGATACAGGTGAGTTCTTGGCATTCCTGGCACAGGACAGCCTGCAAGACTTGCCTGTAGCAGCTTGTCTTCTCCTGCCCTTGGGAAGGAAGTTGATGAGCTAGTTAATATGCACACGACATGCAACACTGGCTGACCAACTGCTTCTGTTCCTCACTATTATTACTAAAATGATGTCAGCCTTTCAGCTAGATTGAGAGAAACCACTTTCCTGGGGAAATCTCAATAAAATCATTGTTTTGCTATCACCAGGTGGAAATCTTGTTAAGTGCTCCAAGGACTTTGGTTTTATGGGTTTGTGTTCTACAGCCCCTGGCAGCGTTGGCTGGGATTTCATTGTAAAATAACATTTCCTCTTGGTAAAAAATGTCTTGTTGCTCGAGGCTCTGGGGCTCAATGACCTTCATGAGTTTTTGACTTCAGGAGACCCAGGGGTGAACTGGAGGTTTGCAATTTATGTCAAAAACACACACGCACGCACACACACACACACACACACACACACACACACATAATCTCTTGGTTGGCCTACAAGATGAAGTGAGGACTTCTGCTGTGACTATCAAGACAGTGCCCCCATCCAAACATTCAGAATTAGTATTAAATGTAAGTCCTTTTTTTATTTTTAAATAGATTTTATGTTTTAGAGCAGTTTTAGGTTCACAGCAGACTTGAGCAGAAGGTACAGAGAGCTCCCATATCCCCGCTGCCACCACACATGAATAGCCTCCCCCACTATAACATCCCCCACTAGAGTGGTACATTTGTTACAATTGATGAACCTACACTGATACATTATTATCACCCAAACTCCATAATTTACATTAGGGTTCACTCTTGATTTTGTACATTCTACGGATTTTAACAAATGTATAATGATGTGGATCAACCATTACAGTATCATACAGAGTAGTTTCACTGCCCTAAAAATCCTCTGTGCTCCACTTCCTCCTCCTTCCCCCTAACCCTTGGCAACCACTGATCTTTTCACTGTCTCCATAGTTTTGGCTTTTCCAGAATGTCATATGGTTGGAATCATACAGTTTATAGACCTTTCAGATTGGCTTCTTTTCCTTAGTAATACATGTTTAAGATTCCTCTATGTCTTTTTTATGGCTTGATAATTCATTTCTTTTTAGTGCTGAATAATGTTCAATTGTCTGGATGGACCACAGCTTATTTATCCATTCATCTACTGAAGGACATCTTGGTTGCTTCAAAGTTTTGGCAATTATGAATAAAGCTGCTATAAACATCTGTGTGCAGGTTTTTGTGTGGATATAAGTTTTCAACTCATTTGGCTAAATACCGAAAAGTATGACTGCTGGATCTTATGGTAAAAGTATGTTTAGTTTTGTAAGAAACTAACAAACCATCTTCCAAAGTGGTTCTACCATTTGGCATTCCCACCAGCAATGAATGAGCATTCCTGTTGCTTCACGTCCTTACCAGCATTTGATGGTGTCAGTGTTCTGGATTTTGGCCATTCATAAAGGTGTGTAGTGGTATCTTATTTTTGTTTTAATTTGCATTTCCCTAATGATGTGGACTATATTTTCATATGCTTATTGGTCATCTCTATATCTTTGGTGAGGTATCTGTTCAGATCTTTGGCCCACTTTTTAATCAGGTTTTTTATTTTCTTATTTTTGAGTTTTAAGAGGTGTTTTGTTTTTTGTATATTTTGGATATAGTCCTTTATTAGATCTTTCTTTTACAAACATTTTCTCCCAGTCTGTGGCTTCTCTTCTCATTCAACTGACAGTGTTTTTTGCAAAGCAGAGATTTTTAATTTTAATGAAGTCCAGCCTATCAGCTATTTCTTATATGGATCATGCCTTTCGTGTTGTTTCTAAAAAGTTATCACCATGCCCAAGCTCATCTAGGTTTTCTCCTAGGTTATCTTCTAGGAGTTTTAAGTTTTTCATTTTACATTTAGGTCTATGATCTGTTTTTGAGTTAATTTTTGTGAAGCGTATAAGGTCTGTGTCTAGATTCACTTTTTTGCATGTGGATAGCCAGTTGTTCCAGCACCATTTGTTGAACAAACTATCGTTCCAATGTATTGTCTTTGCTCCTTTGTCAAAGATCAGTTGGCTATATTTATGTGGGTCTATTTCTGAGCCCTCTATTCTGTTCCTTTGATATATTTATCTTTTCTTTCACCCATACTACATTGTCTTGGTTACTGTAGCTTTATAGTAAGTCTTGAAGTTGAGTAGTATCAGTCCTCTAAATTTGTTCTTCTCTTTTAATATTGTGTTGCCTATTCTGGGTCTTTTGCCTCTCCACATAAAATTCAGAATCAACTTGTCAATATCCACAAAATAATTTGCCGGGATTTTGATTGGGATTATGTTGAATTTATAGATCAAGTTGGGAAGAACTGACATCTTGACAATATTGCCTTTTCCTTTCCACGAACATGGAATATCTCATTTATTTGCTTCTTCTTTGATCTCTTTTTTCAGAATTTTGTATTTTTCCTCATATAGATCTCGGACACATTTTTTTAGCTTTATACATAAGTATTTCATTTTTTGGGGTGCTAATGTAAATGGCACTGTGTTTTCAAATGCAAATTCCACTTGTTTATTGCTGGCATATAGGAAAGTGATGGACTTTCAGATATTAACCTCGTATCCTGCAACATTACTATAATCACTTATTAAATCCAAGAGGTTTTTTGTCAATTCTTTTGGATTTTCTATGTAAACAATCATGTGATCTATGAACAAAGATAGTTTTATTTCTTCCTACCCAATCTGTATACTTTTTATTTCCTTTTCTTGTCTTATTGCATTAGCTAGAGCTTCCAGTATGGTGTTGAAAAGAATGGTGAGAGGAGACATCCTTGTCTTATTTTTAATCTTAGTGGGAAAGCTTCTAGTTTCTCACCATTAAGTATGATGTTAGTTGTAAGTTTTTTTGTAAATGTTCTTTATCCAGTTAAGGAAATCCCCCACTATTCCTAGTATATCATGAATGAATGGGTGTTGGATTTTGTCAAATGCTTTTCTGTATCTATTGATATAATTATGTGATTTTTGTTCTTTAGCCTGTTAATGTGGTGGATTACATTAATGGATTTTTGAATGTTGAACCAGCCTGGCATACCTGGGATAAATCCTGCTTGGTTGTAGTGAATAATCTTTTTGTATAGTCTTGGATTCAATTTGTTAACATTTTGTTCAGGATTTTTGAATCTATGTTCATGAGAGATATTGGTCTGTAATTTTCTTATACTGTCTTTGGTTTTGGTATTAGGGTAATGCTGGCCTCATAGAATGAGTTAGGAAGTATTCCCTCTGATTCTATTTTCTGAAAGAGATTGTAGAGAATTGGTATCATTTTTTCCCTAAATGTTTGGTAGGATTCACCAGTAAACCCAACTGGGCTCTAAATCTATTTTTAACTCATCTTGACTAATATCATTGCTACCACTTTTGTTTGGTAGTAAGAGCCCCTTAAAATTGTCTATGACCTCAGTGTCAGAGTAGTTTTGGGGAACATAGCTTGCTACAAATTTGTGGGGCCTGGTGAAAAATGAAAATAGGGCCTTTGTAAAAAAATTATTAAGACTTTCAAGACAGCAACAGCAGAGGATTAAACCAAATGTAGAGCCCTGTGCGACTGCACAAGTCACATGCCTGTGAAGCCAGATTTGACTATAGAGCCCAGAAAGAGTGGCCTAAAAGAAATGGGAAGTCCTCTTGCACCTGGGAAGGAACTAGCACTTATTGAACATTTACTGTGCCCTGCACACTGTCATAAAAGGTGTTCAATAAATGTTTATTGAATAAATCTCACTAAATTCCCACAACAACCCTATGAGGTGCATACTATTTCCCCCCATTTTACTGATCTAGCATCTTATGCTTGGAGTGGTAAGGAAATGTACCCAAAGCATGAGGCTAGCTACTGGCAGAAATACAATTCAAACAGAATTTTCTGAGTTCTAAGTCATACCCAGGCCAAGGCAACGTGCTAAAGATCATGCCTCCAAATCTCAGGCAACTCCTGCTTGTGGAAGATTGATTGAGAGCTGTGCCACACCCAAAAGCCTTGGGTCTTATATGGGGGTGCATGAGTATAGGAATGGAGAGACCAAAACAGGTAAGTGATGGGGCCTAGAGCTTAGAGATACACTGGGGGAAAATAGCAGTCAATCTGAAAGCCTCAAGGACCCACCCTGTTACCCACCTTTCCTCTCAATTCCTTCTTTATAGAGGAGAAGCATACATTCTCTACTCATAAAGCCTCCCAACGTTATGTTCTCTATTGGTTCCAACTCAAGACAACCAATCTACCTGACATCATTTCTGCCCCAACCTGATGTGTTCTTGGATCTAGCTTCCCAGAGGGGAAGAACTTTGGGCCTTATCTCTCACAAGGATTGGCTTCATTATTCCCATCCCAAGCTCCATTCCCTTTTCCCACCCTGGGAATGGAGAACTGTTGAGGTTCAAATGGAAAGACCGGTTTTGGTTTCCCACACGCCCAGGTTTAAGTTAGGTCTTCTTACCATCTATTTCCACGGTACCATGGAATTTTCCTCAACATGGGCCAATGATGTTTAATTTTCCTGTTTACCACTCTGTGTCCCCACTGACTGAAGCCAGCATGAAATCAGGGATTCTGTCTGCTTTGTTCAATGTTGTATTCCCAGCACATAATAGAGCTTGGCACACAGCGTGTGCTCATAAATGTTTGTTGGATGCCGAATGAATGGGGTTTGGGGCTCTGCAAAGTCTCCCACAGCAACACAGTCATTACCTTAGCAATGCAGGTTCAGAACCCTGACTTGTTGGCATATAGCAAGCAGATCACACCAGACCTCAGATGTGGTCATGCATTAACTGAGCTCCTAGAGGCCAATGAAAATGTATGGGTTTATGAGAAATAAAACTTCCAAGGGGACTGGGCATGGAGATCTTCTAGTTTAGTGCATTCTTTCCCTTTATATGGGTTCGTATGGTTAGTTGGCAAGTTTTGACTAAGAGTTACAGCTATCCATAAAGCAGTCAACATTCAGTAGCCTGAACATCTATCTCCACAATAGAATAAAACTCTCAGTAGGCTGAGTCATTTCCTGAAATTAGGACATTGCTCGCCAGACAGAGATACCTAAGGCACTGTCAATTTTTAAAATTATTTTATTGAGGTCACATTGGTTTATAACATTGTGTAAATTTCAGGTGTACATCATTATATTTCAGCTTCTGTATAGACCGCAGTGTGTTTACGACCAAAAGTCTAGTTTCCATCCATCACCATACATATATGCCCCTTTACCCCTTCCACTCTCCCTTCACCTCCTTCTCCTCTGGTAGTCACCAATCTGTTCTCTGTATCTATGTGTTTGTTTATCTTCTACATATGAGTGAAATCATATGGTATTTGTCTTTCTCTGTCTGGCTTATTTCACTTAATACCCTCTGGGTCCATCCATGTTGTCGCAAATGGCATGATTTTGTCTTTTTTTATGGCTGAGTAGTATTCCATTGTATGTATACACCACATCTTCTTTATTCATTCATCCATTGATGGGCACTTAGGTTGCTTCCACATCTTGGCTATTGTGAATAATGCTGCAATGAACAGAGGATGCATAAATCTCTTTGAATTGTTGATTTCATGTTCTTTGGATAAATACCTGGAAGTGGAATAGCTGGATCATATGGTATTTCTATTTTTAATTTTTTGAGAAATCTCCATACTGTTTTCCATAGTGGCTGCACCAGTTTGCATTTCCACCGGCAGTGTATGAGGGTTCCCTTTTCCCCATGTCCTCTCCAACACTTGCTATTTCTGTCTTTTTAATAATAGCCATTCTGACTGGTGTGAGGTGATATCTCATTGTAGTTTTGATTTGCATGGCACTGTCAAATTTTGCTTTTCTGACTGTTTTCCTTTCCTGTTTTTTATGTTTTATCAACCTCCCTTCTGTTGGACTCACCCTCCCTTCCTTCCTTTCATTTTAAAATAATTTTAGACTTACAGAAAAGTTGCAAAAATAGAGAGAATTCATGTACATCTCTCACTCAGCTTCCCCTAATGTCAACTACTTATATAACTATAGGGCAATTATCAAAGCCAGAAAATCACCATCTTTACAATACTATTAATGAAACTACAGACCTAATTCCAGTTTCACCAGTTTTCCCCCTAAGGCCCCTTTCTCTGTTCCAGGACCTCACATTGCATTTGGTTGTCATATCTCTTTAGTCTCCTCTAATCTGTGGCAGTTCCACATTCTTTGTTTTTTATGACCTTGACACTTTTGAATAGCATTGGTCAATAACTTTGTAGAATGTCTCTCAATTTGAGTTTGTGTGATGTTTTCTCATTGATTAGATTGAGGCCATGCATTACTGGGATGAATACTACAGAAGAGATATTGTGTCCTTCTCAGTGCCTTATATCAGGGGGTATATGATGTTGTTATCTTATTACTGATGATGTTAGCCCTGATCACCTGGTTAAAGTAGTGTCTGCCAGGTTTCTCTACTATAAAGTTATTTTTCCCTTTGTAGTTGATAAATATCTTAGGAGAGATACTTTGAGATGATGCTAACATCTGTTTCTCCTCAAACTTTTGTCCCCTGATTTTAGCCTTTATCTTGTCTGCAATAAGTATTACTGCAGACACATTATTTCTTAAAACAATTTTTTAAATTATGCTTGTAATACATGAATATCTTCTCATATTTGGTTTATAGAATATAACTTTAAAATTTCCCCTTCACCCTTGCTATGCAGTACCACTTCCAACCCAGAGGTAATGTCTGTTCAATTGTGTCTGTCCAGTTCTTTTTATATATACAGTTATATGCTGTATAATGACATTTTGGTCAATGATAGACTTCATATATGACAGTGGTCCCCTAAAATTAGTACCATAGAGCCTAGGTGTAGAGTAGGCTATACCATCTAGGTTTGTGTAAATACTGTAGGGGAGGAGAAGATTTTCCTCTACACTTCTGGGTTCTTCTAGCTGGTCTAAGAGTTAAATTGTCCTGACACAGATTAATGGGAGAAAAATAAACAAAAGTTTAATAACATGTTTACCTGGGGGAAACCCAGGAAAACCGAGTAACTTGCCAAAATGGCCAAAGCCCTCACCTTAAATGCCATCCTCAGCTAAAGACAAAAGAAAGTGTTGGCGGTGGGGAGAGTCAGGGACCTCAAAGGGAAGGAAGGCAATTCACAGGTAGGTGAAAAGGAGCAGATGTTTGGAAAACAAGTGTTTGGCTACACAGAAACAGAAGAACATGGAGAGGAGCCCAACGGACAGGCTTTTCTAGGTCCCTCCCTGTCTACACCTAGTCCATGTTATGCTAAGGTGATAGCTCGCTTCCTGAGATAGGATTTTTAATCTGAATTCTTTTAGACAGTTAAGAGAGAGGTAATAAAAACTTTCTAGTCTTTTCTTTCTTAATAATCAGCCTAAAATACTCCTCATGTTAACGAGACACATTTTGGGGTGGCAGATTTTGTTCCCCTTCAATACACTCTCTGAATTTCACACAACGAGGAAATTGCTGAAGGATGCATTTCTCAGAACATATCCCCAACGTTAAGCAACGCATGACTATGTATCAAGAAAAATCTCCATCCTATTCCTGCACCTCAGCCACCATTTACTCTCTATGAAGGCAAAAATGTTATCAGTTCCCTGACTATCCATCCAGGGATATTTATGCATATACGAGCACTATTTATATCTTTCCCCCCTTTTTTACACAAATGGTAGTATACCTTACATACAGTTCCGCAACATAATTTATATTTTTACTTATAATACACCTTGGAGATCATTCCATGTTAGTATATACAGTTTCTCTTCATTAGAGCTAATGATGGCAGAGCATTTCATTGTAAAGGTTTCATCATAAGGACTATTTAATTAGTTCCCTGTTGATGGATGTTTAGGTAGCTTTTGATCTTTTGATCTCTCAACTATGTGGCAGTGCATTATATCTTCATAGAGGTGCAAGTATTATTTGTAAGGTAAATTCCTGGATCTGGAAATGCTAGGTAGAGGACCTGTGCATTGATAATTTTCACAGGTATTAATAAATCATCTCTCTATCAAGGATTTATCAACTTGCACTCCCGTCCACAATATACAAGACATCCCCTTTCCCCACACTCTTATTAACATAATGCATCATCAAATGACCTGATCTTTGCCCACCTGATAGGTGAAAAATGATATCTCAATGTAGTATTTTAAAGTAATTTTTATTGACATATAACATACATGCAAAATGTGCATACAAATCATAAGCGGACAGCTCCATTAATTTTTACAGTGAATTCATCTGTGGAATAGCGCCCAGATCAAGAAATAGAATTTCACCAGCCCCCTCATATCCCCTGCTTCCTACCCCTCAAGATAACCAGTATCCTATCTTTTAAAACTTTCAATTAGTTTTGCCTGTTTTTGAACTTTATGTACATATAATCATCTAGTGTGTTCTCTTCTTTAACTTAATGTCTCAATGAAGTCTTATTTTGCAATTAAATTTTATTATGGGTGCAATGGAATATCATGTCATATATTGTAGGACTCATTTCTTAAATTCCCTTTTCTGTGAACTCTGTTCATATCCTTTGGCCATGTTTCTCTTGAGCTGTTAGCTTTTATTCTTATTGGTTTATAGGAGATCTTTATATATTAGGAAACTAGCCCTTTGTCTATGATATGTCACAAATGTTTTTTCCCAGTTTATAATTTGCTTTTGCCTATGGTAGTTTATGCCACATAGAATTTTTTACTCTTAAGTGGTTGAATCTATTAATCTTTGGGGTTTCTGAGGTTTGTGTCCTATTTAGAAATGCCAAGATTATTTTTTTAAATTACCCATAATTTGTCTAGTTTTTGTTTACATTTAAATCTTCAAACCAACCAATTGGTTGTGTTTCATTTCTAAAGAAATTGTAATTTTAGTTTTCTGAACCTAAAAGTTATTTAGGAGAATATTTCAATTATTTTTCTAAGCAGATATTTTGGTTACTCTTTTAAAATGATTAATCTTGAATATTATTTCACTGTGTTCAGAGACTGTGGCCTCTTTGTGATTTCTGATTTTTAGAATTTGCCCAGTTTTCCTTTATACCCTAAGGCAGGGTCAATTTTTTGAGACTCTTCCCTGTATGCTGTGTGTGTGCATAATTTTATTGGATTTTGTGTGTATTTGTGTGTATATATGTGTGTCTATATAAACATATATACATATGCAATGTACATTTATATATGATCAAGTTTAATTATGTTATCAAATCTTTATGTTTGCCTAATATCTGATATAGTAAAAATCTTCCACTATTTGGATTTATTGATTTCATCTTATTTTTCTATTTTTGCTCTATATATTTCAAAGCCATGCTCTTAAGTGCATAAGGACTCATGATTTTTATTTACTTTAATTTTATATGTAAGTTAATATACAAATGCATTCTCATTGTTAAAATGCAAACAATACAGAAATAGAAGTGAAAAATCATCACTCAATGTTATATACATTAAAACAACAACAAGATGCCATTTTCCCAACAATCAGATTGGCAAAATTTTAAAAAATTGGTAACAATCTGTGATGGCCATTGTGCAGGAGAGATAGAGACTCTCATGTATTGTTGGTGAGAGTGTAACTAGGAAAGTGCTTAGAGCATCACCTGGCACACGTTAAAGGTCCAGTAAATGTTACCTCTTATTACAAGTGAAATTACTGGGTGTGACATTTAAAAATTTGGTAGATACTACCAAACTGCCCACCTAAAAAGCTTTAATTGCTCCATATCAAAACCACTCTGCTCTGAGTTCCCATCTGGCCTCCTGTGGGGGAAGTCCAAGCTAAGTCATTCTTTTCTCTCCCTCCCACCAGGGTTGTGCAAAGGTTCTGGGTTGTTGGAGATGCTAAGGCATCAGGGTGGCTCCTCTGCGGTTCCCCAGCTCACACAGGTTTCCTGGGGGCCATACATTGCGCCAGCCGCCGGTAGTTCCTTATCATCAGGAGGCCATGTGCCACGCGTGCATTAAGGAACCATTTGTAAGGTTGGGAGCCCAGGTGCCCAGACCACCCGAAGTCTTACCATCACCTGAGGGGCATTGCTGGGGAGCGTATCGAGGTCCTTGTATAGCAGAGTCACATAGACTTCTGTCTCCTTCCTGGACCCCAGGAAATCCCCCTTCCCCAGTGTCACACTTCTCCCCCTGCCCCTTCCAAGACTCCTCACGTTATCCCTAGTTCTGTGGCTTGTTTTACAAGAGGGGAAAGTCTTTTGCCTACAGGCTGTTTCTGCTTTCTGTCCTGTTCGGAGGCAAGGAATTACAAGTCCTCCTTGGCTACCAGAATTGAGAGGACAGGAAGGAAAATTAAAGGGCAAACAGATAAAGTGTGATATTTCATAAATTATCCTGCCACGGTATCCGTCATTATGAGTCCACCTTAAAGACTAACACTGCTTTATTCTTTCCCAGCTTTATGCACCCCAACACACACATACAGACACACACACACACACACTCCATTTAACAAGACAGAGGGAGCAACCGGAGCGAGCACCAGCCTGGCCTTCCTCGTGCCTCTCAGTGGAGCGGAGACTCACAGTCAACAGCTGCTAACCAGGCTTTCTGGCCTGTTGCTCTCTCTGGTTTGTCTTTCCTGTAGGAGCATCAAGGTTGCCTGGCAACCACAGCAGGTCGGCCTCTCACATGGTTTCCTTAAAGAAAGCGGCAAAGCGTTTGTTCCTGTCGCAGTCCAAGCGAGGCCTAATGAGTGTGAACCGGGAGTCAATCACGGAGGGAGTTGGGAGCGGCGGTGCAGGGTGGTGAAAACAGTGTGAAGAGCACAGAGCAGTCTGGGGTGGCACTTGGGAGCCGGTGTGAAAATAGCTGTCATTTCTTTAATTTCCCCCTCACAGCCTCCATGACAGAACCTGGGCAGGGCGTAGCAAGGGCGGAACTTTGGAGGCTCATGTCTGAGCTACGGTTGAAGGAATAGGGGATCTTTAATCTGGGCAAGACGTCTTCTGAGGATGGGAGACGTGGTTGTCTTTAACTATTTGGAGCCTGAGAGTACAGAAAGGAATTAGTCTGGTTCTAGTTGGCATGAGAGGGGAGCAAATGTGGGCCCACCATGAGGGAGTGGTTCACAGAGGAAGCGGTTTGTCTTGGGGAGGGGGTGAATTCCCTGCAGCACCGGCACGCATGCTGAGGGAAGGATGGGCACTGATGCCTTTGATGTGTCCATCCACATCTATGACACCTCACCTTGGACAGGTTTGCATTCCTGAGTGGACACAAATAGCTCACGTGTGAGCACTGACTCTGTGCCACCCACATCCGGGATCTTGAGAAACGGCCACTCTCGGGTCTCTGTTGGCGAGTGCTGGGTAAGCTGTTGATGTTCTCTGCATACCCCACGGGAATGCCAGCCCAAGCTCCTCTCAGCCCACAGGTAGGGTTGGGGCCATGGCTGGTGCGGCCAGGGCTGCTGCTGAGGGCACTGAGCACAGAGTAGCGGGTGGGGTGCTCATGTGGGGTGGACAGTAGAAAGGATTGACCCACTCTTATATAGGCAGGGGACAGGTCAAGGGATATAAGCGGGACTTCTGCAAAGGAGTAGGGACCTGAAAACTGTGGAGTGCATGAGAGGAGGTGGAGAGAGAGAAGTTGGTGCCAAGTGACATGGAAGTTCATTTCAGATGTTGGGTGTGTCAAGCTAAGGGAAGGACAGGTAAGCAGGAGAAGGAGGCTCCTGGGGCCCAGCTCTTACACAGTGACCAGCGCTGCCTTTTAGTATGTATCTGTGATGTGCCTGGTGCTTTCCATTGAATTGTCTTTAATCATCACAACTAGTAAGGCAGGGAATATCATCCCCACTTTACAGGTGAGGAAGCTGAGGCACAGAGCAGCCAAGTGACTTGCCCAGAGTGACTTAAGAAATAGCAGAGTCAAGATTCAAATACAGATGCGCCTCCTCCAAATCCCACCTCTCTCCACCTTGCCTCTCCACACTCCCCGCCCCAGCCCAGCAGGCAGGGATCCAGGCACTGAGGCTACAGCTGTGCACACACTGCTGGGGACCCTTGGTTGTGAGGTGGGGGTGTTAAACCTGAGACTTTAGCATCACTCAGTTGTGCATTTCTGTTTTTTTTAATAGATTTTTTTCTTTTAAATTTGTAAGTAGAGGGATAATATAGAGTACATGTGTAAATGACACTTAAGCGTCCAGCTAGATGACATTTTACAAATGCATACACCTGTATAATCATCACCCAGGCCAGGATACAGAACATTTCCAGCAGCCTCATTGTGTTTTTCTTCACACGAATCAGAACTCTATTGGAACAGCTAAATATATACATTAAGG